GTAATCTACTTTACATTTAAATAATATGCTTTGATATTTAGTATTTGTTTGATTGAATTTCTACAAATACATTTTTTAGAGATTAGTATTTATTAATTAAATTTCTAAAATTTTATGTGAAAAAATATTTTGAAATTATATTTTTAAATAAAATATCATAAAAAAGTATCAAAATAATTTCATTTCCACTTTTAAAACATGATATTTTAATTTTTTAATAAAAAAATATTTTTTTATTTTGATTACACAATAAAAGTAATTTTTTTGCATTTGTTATTTCACTTTATCCACAAGTTATGTAATTCAAATTCAAAATTTTTTACTTTTAACAACAAAAAAATTACTATTGAACTACTAAATATATTAAAATCACATATTCTTTAGGATATTTTTTTAGAGGTTTGAGTCATAAATATATATTTTTTAATTTCTATGGGGATGGCAGATTTTTAAGTTCTAGTAAAAAAAGTTTAAAAATGTCTTTAGAATTATTTTATTAATGTATTTAAATAATTCTATTAAGTATTCAAACTCTTTTATTCTTATAGGTTGATTTCAAAATCACTTTTCTGTTCTTTATTGCAAAAGTTGAAATCGTATGCTTTGTTGTACACATCCTTTTTAGAACGTTTTCAAACTCAACTCACTATACTTCTGGGCTACCAAGCCTGTCAGAATTTTGGACTTTAAGGCTGCATCGAACCCAGTCATCACTAATTATCTTAATTCAAAGAAAAAAAAAAAAACAACAGCATATTTCTTTACCTGTTTGCACAATGAGAGAAGCTAATTTAACATTTCTAGTAACAACCATATGGAGAAAACACAAACAAAATATTCCATACAAAAGTTTAAGGTTCATCGACCTCCTGAAAGTAGGGATTCTGAAATTGAAGAGGAATGCGTGTATGCCTTATCCATGGAGGACGGATAGGACGAGACAAAGTCATCAAAACCTTCACCATGGGCAAATGTTAGGCCACCAGCAGTCAGGCCTAGTGCTGACAAGTCAGGCAAAGGAACATTGCCTTCTAAGTACTGCACCACTTGGCGCATGCTTGGCCTGGCTGTGGGGTCTGAATGCGAACAGAGTAACCCCAGCTTCAATACCAACTCCACCTCGTTTGCTACAAAATCCATCCCTAATTTTGGATCTCTGACCTCAAGAATCTCCCCTCTTTGCCAAAACAAAAACACCAGATCAACCAGAATCAAATCCTCTGTTTCACCTTGTGGTTCACTCGGCCTTCTTCCACAGGCAACTTCTAGCAAAAAGGCACCAAAAGCAAACAGATCGGTACTGGTTGTGGCCTTCCCTGTTCGGATGTGCTCCGGCGCTAGGTACCCTAGAGTACCCACCACATGTGTTGTTTGTGGATCCGTTCCATGATCATACAATCTCGCCAACCCAAAATCTCCTAATCTTCCGTTCAATTCACCGTCTAAGAGAACATTGCTGGCCTTTACATCTCTATGAATCACAACTTGTTCCCATTCTTCGTGCAAATAAAGGAGAGCCGAGGCTACGCCTTTGATGACCCTAAACCTCTGTCTCCAATTCAGGGTGATATTCGGCTGGCCATAAAGGTAGTTGTCCAGACTTCCATTCGGCATGTAGTCATAGACCAAGAGCAACTCCCCTTTCCTCCGGCAATACCCCAGGAGTTGTACTAAATTCCGGTGACGGAGACGACCGATGCTAACAATTTCTGCCACGAATTCCTTCATCCCCTGTCTTGATTCATGAGAGACTTTTTTAACGGCAATCTCCAATTTGGAGGTAGGTAATGCTCCTCTATAAACTTTACCAAAACCACCAGAACCCAGTAACCCTTTGTCCTTGAACCCATTTGTGGCCACATACAGATCTCTGTACTTGAATCTTTGACGCCCGTAATCGAGTTCCCAATCTTCAACTACATCTGCGAATTCCCTCTTCCTCTTTATGAAATAAACAACCCCTGAAACTGTTGCAAAAACCAGAGTCATGGAAATCAGAGGCAAACCAATTGTTAAATACTTCAATGTTTGCTCCGGTTCTCTGCGAGGAAGCTTAGGCAACTGTGAAATAACGAGCTCCTCTGCTTGGCCGTTAATCATAAAACTCCAACCCAAAACATAGTGAGATGTTACGACCGTACCAGTTGACGCAGAGAATCCGATGTATACAGTATCGTTGACGATGGGCGATAAATCCCTTGACAGAGACAAAAGTGGGAGTTTGGGTTTAGGAACATTAATTGGAGCTAAGGTGACATTCATTCTCTGTTCTAGACTATTGTATTCTACCCAAACTTG